GCTAATTTAGATTAACTTGTCAGACCGCTCCATCAACTACACTAGCACGGAAATAACGGGACTCGGGCAAAATGCACCGACTCTTGCTCGTGTTTGTGGCCGCCGTCGGGTTTCCGGGTTCGGCCTCCGCGTCTGTACGCCTCCCCCGCGGTGGAGCCTTGCGACGCCCCGCTGCAGTGGGAGGGAAAGTGGGTGTTGTACGACCACAGCACGGGCAGAAACAGCCGGGCCGCGGTCTCCTACGACGGCCAGAACCAGCGGATCCGGGTCCTGCAGCAGCACAAGAAGCACACTCCCTGTCAGAGGTACCAACCAGTCCTGGCTGGGTGACGAGGTTTAATCTATTGCAAATGCTCAAAAAATATCCATCTCATGTTTTTCATTTTAACTGATTAAAGTTAATATATACACTTTAAATATCAATTTAAAATATCTGAAAAAGACCAAATTATTTAATAAAGTTGAATAGGTCATATTTCAATGTCACTGAACTAGTTGGTGTTTTTGTTGTAGCAACAATATTAAATTAACAAATATTTTGGCAACATGTTGAATAATTTAAAAAACACCATATTTATTCACCCATTGCATAAACATCAGAGCAACAAATAAAGTATTACAGATTGTGAGAAGAAATCCTGTTATATTATTGAAGAATCAAATCAAGCCTGTTGTTTAGAAATGATCAAAAGGAGCAGCAATAATAATAATAATAATAATAATATAATAATAATAATAATAATAATATAATAATAATAATAAACACTTTATTTTGGAGTTGATTCATTAATAATTGCTGGATCACAAATGAAGATACTTCTAAACGTGAATTAGTCGTAAACCAAGATGAGGTTTAATGAATCTGTTTCAGAGACACAGATAAGTTTCAATTATGAATATTTTTACTCCACAAACTTTAATTTATCCACCAGATTTTTCACTATGGAACATAAAACAGAACAAAGTGTCACATCAAAATCTATAATTATCAGCACTAAACAAGAAGTTTAAACTGATTCTCGCTCTGTGGTCAGGTAGTTTATTTAAAGTGCTACGACTGAATTATAATGATGGAAACAAATGTAAAAATCAACTAATTAGAAACATTTTGCACTGAAAGAAAATGACTAATAATGTCCCCAGAACATCCTGGTAAAGGTTCCTGTTGTGGAAACATGTATTATTGGTCAATATTTATTTTATTTTATAACTTTGATCACTTTGGGTGTTTACATAAAAGCTGATCGATCAAAACTTTCTCATAAGTTATTATCTTTTAAGATAAGCTTATTACTGTTATTATCTGAATTAATATGAACTAAGAATTTGCTAATATTGTGGCAGGTAATAAATAATAAGTAATAAATTATTTTATTTTCTACTTGGGAGGAAAATAAATGGATTATTTTGCTGATAGTTTGGGGTATATTTTTATTTTGCTTCTTTTTATTGAATTCATTAAATGTCTGTTTTTATGTGCTACAGTGAACAAATGTTTTTATTATTATATGAAAAAAAGTGAAAAAGTTGAAGAAGTTTATCAAATAAACATACATAAAACCTATCTAATTTACTTAATTTTTTCCCCAAATAAAAAACAGATAAGCTGATTTATTGATTATTATTGATCACTTATAACAATATAAGCTTTTTAGTTTGTAGTTTTACATGTTTATCACCTGGCTTCTCTTTTTGTTTTTATTCTGCTCGTATTAAGCCATGTTCAGACCTCAGAGTCTGTTGTCTAATAATCAGCGGCGCTGCAGGAGTAAACAAGCACAAAGTCTCTAACTCTGCATTGTGAAACGGCGTCTGGCTGGTAAACAAAGGCTCAGCCTGTTTAATCAGCGTTAGTTTGCTTAGCTTTGACAACACTGCACTCATTTCCCAAAAATATATTGCACTGCAGTGAACTAACGTTTGCACTCCGAATTTCCTTTTTCTTGTATTTGCAGGTTTTTTGAGTACATCTACCTGTACCAGAGCAAGGTGATGTTCCAGATCGACCAGAAGACCAAAGAGTGCTCCAAGGTGGCTCTGACCGAGGCCTGGGATCCCTTCGACATCCCCATAAACTCCACCTTTGAGGATCAGTACTCCATCGGAGGCCCCGGGGACAACGTGGAGGTGCAGGAGTGGTCGGACAGGAAGCCGGCTCGTCGGCGTAAGAACGCCGCGCCACGCTTAGAAAACAGAAATCTGGGAAAATGAACCAAATGCTGAGTCACTGCAGTTGGTCAGAACGACTCCAAACTGAGCTAAAATAAATCAACAGATAATAACAGAAATAATACATAACAGTGCAAATGTGCACTGCAAAAACACAAAATCTCACCAAGTATTTTTTAGTGAGGTTTTTAGTGCAAATATCTTAGAACAGTTTAAAAAAGACAAAATGAACTTAAATGTAACATTTCAGCAAGATATTGGATTATAAGTCAATTAGTCCTTAATACTGATGAAAAAGTACCAGTTCCACTGGCAGATAAAGTCACTTATAACATGAGAAAAATGTCTTGTTAAAATGAACTTTTACATAAAAATTAAGGAATTATAGACTTAAAAAAGCTCATATATCTTTCTTAAAAGTTACTTGTAAGTTAGTTTTGTCTTATTTTACTATAATATTTACTAGAAACTAAACTAAAAATACTTGGTAGGATTTTGTGTTTTTGTAGTTCCTAGCATGTTTTTGTAGCATTTTGCCCTTTAGCCTGCATGTTATCAGTCCACCAGCAGAGGGCGACATTTGAAGATGGAAAATTAACCCGGATCTGAAAACTGGCTGAATTTTCTACTGTAGATCCTGTTGAAAGTGTTGCAGGTTTCAGAATGAGCAGCTCATCTCCTGCTCATTTTCCTGCAGATGAATCCTGGGTTGGCGTTTACACCGTGAAGGATTGCTACCCGGTGCAGGAGACTTACACCAAGAACAGCACCGTCACCACCTCCACCCGCTTCCTCAGCCTGCAGCTGGGCATCAGCGACCCCAAAGTCTTCTCTCCGCCCTCCACCTGCCAGTCGTCTCGGCCGGAGCGGATGGCCGAGTTCCGCTGCTGAGGCCTTCGCCGATAATCAACAGCTTTTTCAGTCTGTAGTTGATTCCTGGTACAATAATAATAATAAACACTAAGAGAATAAAACACATAGCTGCTGTAGAAACTGTCATTACTGATGCCAATACTGCAAGATCTTCTGTTGAATCTTTACTTTATTAGTTTAAATCTGAATATTAAATTCTGAAATCACTGCTGTGAGACAATGACGCCTGAATAAACTGGTTTATTGTCATCTGTTATGTTTCAGAGTGAAGGAAACTACTGATTTCATTCTTAATGTTTCTTAATATGTGATGCCCATATAATAAAAAGACATTGTTAATCTGAATAAAAAGTGAGTTTGAGATCATTTACTTGTACTTTATTGTGAAAATACTTAAGTAGTCTCCAGAATGGAGTCGGCCATCTTTCTGAGAAGGCCTGGACCGCGGCATGCCTTCCAGAGCGAGCTGAGTCCAGAGGTCTGTTGGTTCCTGGAAATCTTCAGAAGACCAGCGGAGCTTTGAAAGTTTGCTTCAACTGAGGAAGCAGTGTGGCTTTTTTACTTTACGCGTCTATCCATCCCTTATCCAACATGCTTGTCCTGACAGGAATTCCCAAAGTGATCAGGGGAGAGACGTGGGACACCCTGGTCAGATCGCCAGTCCTCTTTTCAGATACCGTGATCCTGCATTTCCTGAAACTGAACCCTCACATGAATACCCGTCACCCAGACTGAGTGAAAGGCGGCGTTACTTACTGCACGCTCTGCAGTAAGTTCGAAAAATGAGGAAGTGCGCTGCAGCAGCGCGTGAGGTTAACGGACCTGATACCTGTCAGTTCAGGTACCAGGGGATCCAACCCCACCGCTGGGAGTTGACCTGAACCAACAGGCACCAACCAGGCAGCTGCAGGTTACTGCTATGGACGCCAAACCCTGGATGTGGGATGAATTCTGTGCATCTATTGGGAAAAACTTCCTGTTGGCGTCAAAGATGTTGACTTATTGCCTCACAAGCAGGAAACAGGACATGTTGCTGTTTACCTCTTTCATTTTCCAAGAGAAGTGTGGATGCTGCCTAAACTACTCTGTGTTCCTGCATGGGATTATGAGAAAGTTCAAACAAATGTTTTTCGTGTTAATAAATGACGAAGCTTGAAACAGAAACCAGAACATCAGATTCCCTAAATGAATGGGATGTTTGTAATGGTTCTTCTTTCTCTGAAATACAGATATTGTTTAATGATGTTTTCTTCTTCAGCTCCAAGTCATATGTGCAAATGAGAGACATTAACATGTTGTGACATTTATGTGTGGAGAGATTCATTCACTTTGCACAGTCAAATCATTTGTAAATAGGAACCCAAGCTTCTGTAAATACCAGCTCAGTTGAGGAAGAGGCACAGTCACCATCAGTTGGAGCAGAAATGGAGCAGAAAGGAGATCAGAGGAGCCAGGACCCCTTCTCCTGTTCGATCTGTCTGGATCTACCCAAGGATCCAGTGACGATTCCCTGTGGACACAACTTCTGCATGAACTGTATTAAAATTCACTGGGATGGAGAGGAAAAAAACTGCAGCTGCCCTCAGTGTGAGAAGACCTTCACACCAAGGCCTTTCCTGGAGAAAAACACCATGCTAGCAGCTTTAGTGGAGCAGCTGAAGAAGACTGGACTCCAAGCTGCTCCTGCTGATCACTGCTATGCTGGACCTGAAGATGTGGCCTGTGATTTCTGCACTAGGAGGAAACTGAAATCCATCAAGTCCTGTTTAGTCTGTCTGGCCTCTTACTGTGAGGAACACCTTCAGCCTCATTATGACTCAGCTACTTTTAAGAAACACAAGCTGGTGGAGCCGAACAAGAACCTGCAGGAGAACATCTGCTCTGTGGATGAACATCAAGGCCACGACACAGTGTCAGCTGCAGCAGAAAGGACTGAGAGGCAGAGAGCTGGAGGAGAGACGAGGAAACATCCAGCAGAGAATCCAGGACAGAGAGAAAGATGTGAAGCTGCTTCAACAGGAGGTGGAGGCCATCAATCACTCTGCTGATAAAACAGTGGAGGACAGTGAGGAGATCTTCACTGAGCTGATTTGTCTCCTCCAGGAAAGAAGCTCTGATGTGAAGCAGCAGATCAGATCCCAGCAGGAAACTGAAGTGAGTCGAGTCAAAGATGTTGAGGAGAAGCTGCAGCAGGAGATCACTGAGCTGAAGAGGAAAGACGCTGAGCTGGAGCAGCTCTCACACACAGAGGATCACAACCAGTTTCTCCTCAACTACCCTCACTGCCAGCACTCAGTGAGTCCACACACTCATCCAGCATCAACATCCGTCCTCTGAGACACTTTGAGGACGTGGCAGCAGCTGTGTCAGAGCTCAGAGAGAACTACAGGACGTCCTGAGAGACTCATGGACAAACATCTCACTGATGGTCACTGAGGTGGATGTTCTACTGTCAGAACCAGAACCAAAGAGCAGAGCTGATTTCTTAAGATATTCATGTAAAATCACCCTGGATCCAGATACAGCTCACTGTTATCTGAAGCTGTCAGAGGGAAACAGGAAGGTTACAGCTTTGGATCAACATCAGTCTTACTCCAGTCATCCAGACAGATTCACTTCATGGTGGCAGGTTCTGAGCAGAGAGAGTCTGACTGGTCGTTGTTACTGGGAGGTGGAGTGGAGAGGGAGAGGCGCTTATATAGCTGCTTCATGCAAGAATATCAGCAGGTCAGGAAATGAATGTGGATTTGGTCGAAACAACAAATCCTGGGCTTTAGATTGTCACCAAAACAGTTTCACATTTTGGTACAACAACACTGCGACCTCCATCTCGGTTCCTCAGTCCTCCAGAGTGGGAGTGTACCTGGACCACAGAGCAGGTATTCTGTCCTTCTACAGCGTCTCTGGATCCATGACTCTCCTCCACAGAGTCCAGACCAGATTCACTGAGCCGCTGCATGCTGGAGTTTGGCTTTACATCTGTGGAAGCTCTGCAGAGTTCAGCAAACATTAATACATCTGTTTTCTTCACCAGTGTAATTAGCACTGATATATATTGCAATATTATTTTCATTTAAGTTTCCATTTTTTGTTCTTAGCTCATGTAGGCAACAGAATACAATCACAATAATCATGTAAACTGTAATGGGATCTACTGTTTGTAAAATTTTACTTTACTTTATCACTCTGGTTATGGGTTGAATCTACTAAATAATGTATGTCTTGCAAAAAGGCACCATACCAGCAGAAAGACTTGACTACTGTGTTCAATAAAGAGAGAAAAAGACTTTCATTTGGTTTGTCTTTTGTTTGTGAGCTGCTGAAACTTCAGCGTCGGTCTGCAGGTGTTGGATGATGTGGGAACAAACGTCACAGTTTATGAGGAAGAACACGCACATCTAGATCTGCTCACTTCTCTGAGAACTAACTGAGAAAAAGGAGAACAGTCTGAGGTTTGTTCCCGTCCAGCTGCCCGGATCAGAAACTCTCACATGTCCCTATGACCTCCTGTGGTGACGGCTGGTTTTGAGTCATTTTCAGCTCATAAAGCTGATTTTTCCAGTTTTCTGCTCAGATTCATCAGTGAGACAAAGATAATCACTCCCACTTTGAACATATTTTCATCCACATCCCAGTTATTAAGCGTTATTATTAGAATCAAACCAAAGCTCTGACATTAACTTTATCTAAAATCCCAAAATATGTGGTAATTTTTTTCAGTGACTTTAGAGAACTCTAACCTGCTTTATGCATTTATTATGACAGTTTAATAATTATAACAAACGATCCCCATGATGAGTCTGAAAGCTGTGAAACATTTCAAACCTTTCATTTCACCAACATGCCAACATTCAGCTGCTCAGCTTTAGATTTCCGGATGTGTTCAGCAGATGATTGACGTCATTTTTCAGAATTTTGCCGTTATTATTTGCATGAAGGTTAGATTCTCAGTTACTGGGAGTCATAAAGAAATGTCAGTATTTTTTCAGTTTTATTGGGGAAACATGTTACCTCAATCCATCAAGCCTGATGATGATTTGACAGTCAAATGACCAGAACAGAGCTGCATACGGCGCCTGCTTTGTCTAAGCTAGAAAGAGAAAATATCAACGTTTGCATGCTCACATATTTACATTTCTGGGATGCAGAACTTCCTGGTAGCTTCTTCTCATCCAGTAACAACCAGAACGGCGCCTTAAAAGAAGAAGATGGTTAAGATTAAAGTAGTTTGTCATCAGGTATTAAGAGTTTCATCACTGCTTAAATCAGTTTAGTGAATGTCAGTTTATGCACGAGTGAAGGTTCATGCTGTGTAGGCCCACTGGGTTCATGCTGTGTCGGCTCAGTGGGTTCATGCTGGGTCGGCCCAGTGGGTTCATGCTGTGTAGGCTCAGTGGGTTTATGCTGTGTCGGCTCAGTGGGTTTATGCTGTGTAGGCTCAGTGGGTTTATGCTGTGTAGGCCCAGTGGGTTCATGCTGGGTCGGCCCAGTGGGTTCATGCTGTGTCGGCCCAGTGGGTTCATGCTGTGTCGGCCCACTGGGTTCATGCTGGGTCGGCCCACTGGGTTCATGCTGTGTCGGCTCAGTGGGTTTATGCTGTGTCGGCTCAGTGGGTTTATGCTGTGTAGGCTCAGTGGGTTTATGCTGGGTCGGCCCAGTGGGTTCATGCTGTGTTGGCTCAGTGGGTTCATGCTGTGTAGGCCCAGTGGGTTCATGCTGTGTAGGCCCACTGGGTTCATGCTGTGTCGGCTCAGTGGGTTCATGCTGGGTCGGCCCAGTGGGTTCATGCTGTGTCGGCCCACTGGGTTCATGCTGGGTCGGCCCAGTGGGTTCATGCTGTGTCGGCCCAGTGGGTTCATGCTGGGTAGGCCCAGTGGGTTCATGCTGGGTCGGCCCAGTGGGTTCATGCTGTGTCGGCCCAGTGAGTCAGTCTGTTGGACTCAGAGCTTTAACTCCTTAGAAAAGAATCAGAAATGCCACAAAAAGGCCGAACCAGCAAATGAAGGATTCTTTTTCTCTAATGAAAGGCAGAACTGGTATTTTCTGATTCTGCGGAGAGATTAGAGTTTATATGTCTGAGTTTTGGTGATTCAGTCAGTTGTTAACAGAAAACTCTTGTGGATATAATTCAACTTTAATACTTTCACAGACTTTGTCTTCCTGCAATTAAAATATACTTTCACAGACTTTGTCTTCCTGCAAAAAAACTTGCTCTGCTCAAAAACCGCTGGATGAACTGTGAAAAACTGATTGGCTGCAGCTTCTCTGCTCTGACACATGATCAGAGATCAGAGCTTTATGCTTTATATGGTTTCAGGAAACGTGACTCACATGGTCAGTGTGACTGAGAACAGAAATGGAGCAAAATCTGGAAAACCAAAAAACTTTCTCCTGTTCGATCTGCGAGGATCTACTGAGGGATCTGGTGATGATCCAGAACCGTATTAAAATCTGGGTCCTCCAGAGTAGGAGTGTGCCTGGATCATAGAGCAGGTATTCTGTCCGTCTACAGCGTCTCTGGATCCATGACTCTGATCCACAGAGTCCAGACCAGATTCACTGAGTTGCTGGAGTTTACTGTGGTACAATGCAGGTTCTGCAGAGATCTGTAAACCCAATTAGATTGTCTTTTATTGTTATATAACTAAAACATTTCTCCGCATGAAAATCCAATCTCTCTGGGCTCTGATAGTTATGCTTTAGTATTTGTATGTTCTGGTTTCGGTTCTGCAGATTGAAATGAACTGAAGTTGCTTCTGTTTTATTTTCTGTAATCCAAAGAAGAAATTGAAGCTAAAATCAATTTAGAACTGATGCTGTTTTCTCCTCAATTCTTTAGATTTAGATCAGAAAAATAAATGTCTGCCGTTTTGTCTCTTTGGGTTTCTTCAATAAAACAACTTGACCAAAAAGAAATGTGGAAAGTTTTAATTTCATTTTTGCAAAAATATATTTTCTTTTCTTTCTTAAAAAGGAATATGTTTAAATTTTTTTTAAACAAACAAGCATAAAAACAAGTGAGGCTCAATTTGTCAACAAATAGTCACATTAAAACAAACCATGGGCTGGTCGCCACCTGGTGGTGAATTGTAGTACTGCAGGGGAGACTGTCGATCTGGTTCCAGGTCTTTCTGTAGGATTTAACTTTTTGGGTGGAGAATGTCACATGTTGGAAAAGTTTAAAAAAAAAAAAGGAAACCATAAACAACCTTCAAGGCTCAGGCTTGTTTCACTGGGAGCTGCTTTTTGTTCTCTGATGAAATGACAAACCTCCACCACGTTTTAATGTGTTAACGCAAGAAAACGTATCATAGCCAAAACTTTCAAAACTGTGTGAATGTGACTACAATAATTTAAAATAAGTGCAAAAACAGGAAATCAGTTCAAAGTGATACTATGGACCTTCTTGGACTGGTTAATAAATAAGCTGCAACTGGAACCAATGATGGATCAGAAGCCAATGTGAGCAGAACCACAGAGGTCCAAGTCAGAGGGATGAAAGCAGGAATCAGTTTTTCAACATTTTTTCATTTGAAAAAACTTTTTGCTTTACAGAGTTTGTTTAACTGATAAAAATAAAAAATATACTTTTAGACAAAGAATGTTGCTTGCTTCTCTGATTTAGAAGAATTTTATGGCAACATTTGAAGAAGAAGCAGGAATAAAGAGAAGCAAGAGGATCAAAAAGAAAAGCTACTGGATAGGTAATCCACCAGGGCTGCTATCTTTAACACTTTATTATTCCTGGAATCAAAGCTTTATATTCCTCCCTCTTCCTGCTCAAACACACCTTGAAGCTGGGAGGAAGCAACAGCTGCTGAAAGCTGATTGGCTACAGCCTTTCTGCACTGACATGTGACTCATAGATCAGAGCTCAATCTTTTTTTCTTCACTGAGTTTCTGTTTTCAGGAAGTGAAACTCACACAGTCGCTGTGACTGAGAGCAGAAATGGAGCAGAATCAGCCGGACAGAGAAACTTTCTCCTGTTCGATCTGTTTGGATCTACTGAAGGATCCGGTGACGATTCCCTGTGGACACAGTTACTGCATGAACTGTATTAAAAGTTTCTGGGATGAAGGTGAGCAGAAGAAGAACTACCACTGCCCTCAATGCAGGAAGACATTCACACCGAGGCCTGTTTTAAAGAAGAACATCATGTTCGCAGCTTTAGTGGAGCAGCTGAAGAAGACTGGACTCCAATCTGCTCCTGCTGACCACTGCTATGCTGGACCTGAAGATGTGGCCTGTGATTTCTGCACTGGGAGGAAACTGAAATCCATCAAGTCCTGTTTAGTCTGTCTGGCCTCTTATTGTGAGAAACACCTTCAGCCTCATTATGACGTGGCTCCTTTAAAGAAACACAAGCTGGTGGAACCGAACAAGAACCTCCAGGAGAACATCTGCTCTAAGCATGATGAGGTGATGAAGATGTTCTGCCGCACTGATCAGAAGTGTATCTGTTATCTCTGCTCTGTGGATGAACATAAAGGCCACGACACAGTGTCAGCTGCAGCAGAAAGGACTGAGAGGCAGAGAGAGCTGGAGGAGAGACGAGGAAACATCCAGCAGAGAATCCAGGACAGAGAGAAAGATGTGAAGCTGCTTCAACAGGAGGTGGAGGCCATCAATCACTCTGCTGATAAAACAGTGGAGGACAGTGAGGAGATCTTCACCCAGCTGATCCGTCTCCTCCAGAAAAGAAGCTCTGATGTGAAGCAGCAGATCAGATCCCAGCAGGAAACTGAAGTGAGTCGAGTCAAAGATGTTGAGGAGAAGCTGCAGCAGGAGATCACTGAGCTGAAGAGGAAAGACGCTGAGCTGGAGCAGCTCTCACACACAGAGGATCACAACCAGTTTCTCCTCAACTACCCCTCACTGCCAGCACTCAGTGAGTCCACACACTCATCCAGCATCAACATCCGTCCTCTGAGACACTTTGAGGACGTGGCAGCAGCTGTGTCAGAGCTCAGAGAGAAACTACAGGACGTCCTGAGAGACTCATGGACAAACATCTCACTGATGGTCACTGAGGTGGATGTTCTACTGTCAGAACCAGAACCAGAACCAACAACAAGGGCTGGATTCTTGAGATATTCATGTCAAATCAGTCTGGATCCAAACACGGCTCACAGTTATCTGAAGCTATCAGAGGAAGGTAACACATTCTGATCAGTCTCAGTCTTATCCAAGTCATCCAGACAGATTCACTCGTTATACTCGTGCTCTGAGCAGAGAGAGTCTGACTGGTCGTTGTTACTGGGAGGTGGAATGGAGAGGGAGAGTTTCTGTAGCCGTCGCGTATAAAAATGTCAGCAGAGCAGGAGGTGGGAATGAATGTGTATTTGGACATAATGACAACTCTTGGGCATTAGAGTGTCAGTCAACCAGTTTTGAATTTGGTCACAACAACATCTGGACCTCCATCTCAGGTCCATTTTCCTCCAGAGTGGGAGTTTACCTGGATCACACAGCAGGTATTCTGTCCTTCTACAGAGTCTCTGAATCCATGACTCTGATCCACAGAGTCCAGACCAGATTCACTGAGCCGCTATATGCTGGGTTTTGCCTTGGAACTATGGAGACTCTGTACATTTCTTAAAACCAAACTAGATTTTCTCTCTTTTGCCTGATTGGTGATCAGGACTCATTGCTCTTTTCTGCTCTGCTGTTCTTTATTTTCTGGTTTAAATGTCGTTCTGTGTTTCCAGGAGCCATAAAGTGCAGCTCATGTTTTCTTTCAGTATTGACAGAAATATTTCTCCATATGAAAATCTAAAACTTTCTGGGTTCTGATGGTTTTGCTTTAATATTTGTATTGATAAATTTGGATGTTCTGGTTTCTGTTCTGCAGAATAAATGTTGTTCTTATTTAAATCAGTTGAGATTGAAGAAAACTTTTTATGTTTTCTTTATTGTGATCCAAAGAAGAATCTGAAACAAACATAAACTTTGAACTGATGCTGATTTATTTGACAATAATGTCATTTATATAAAGAAAATAAATATATGCTTTTCTGTCTCTTTAACTTTCATCAATAAAACAAATTGATTACAGAGAAATGTGGAAATTTTTCTCTTCATTATTACAACAAATTATTAATTTGATGAGCTGATGGGTTAATTCTAACCCTAGTAAATAAGGAGATAATAGTAAAATTTCCAGTTCTGCTATTTATTCTTCGCTCTAAATCTGTGATCAGATCCTATCTGACCTCAGATCTCTTTGTTCTAAAGACTGGAAAACACCCAATGTGTGCAGGAGCAACAGATCCATCCATCAACATTTGTTGTGCAACGATGTTACTTCACAAAATATAATGTTTACCATGTGGTATCTTTTATAACTTTGTACTGTTGTGTTTTTAAATGGTAAAGCATTTTGAACTGCCTTGTTGATGAAATGTTCTCCACAAATAAACGTGATTGCTTGCTGACGCAGCAGAAATAGTGATGATGGATGCAATGTGTTTCCCCAAATTTATTAACAAAACATTTGCAATTTATTTATACTGGTGGTCAGAGAATAAAATGAGAAATGATGTACTAAACTTTGTTGACTGACAAATCAGGATGTTTCTTGTTCAAACCGATGAACAGACTCTATATTTCTGGCGTTTTCAGCCTATCACTGATGTGATCAGGTCTCTGAGGAGCAAACCATGAACATCCAGCTTGGTATCTTTCCATAAATGTTGAAATTGTCCAACAACTCCTAAACTTACGGATGGCTTCAATCATCCAGGAGCAAGTTTTTATTTACCCTGATCCTGCTTGGTTAAATTGTGCCACAGAGTCTAAAACAGATCCTAATAATTATGCAAAAGACTAAAGAAATGAATCAGTATCCATATGAGCCAAATAAAAAAAGAAGAACCTCTCAACATCATTGCGGTAGATAACACTAAATTATCTAAAGTAAATTTAATAATAAACAGTAAATATGTTGTTTTTTATTTCTTCAACAGTAGATAGCAATTAAGTTAAATGTTTCCCATCATATATGTCAATTATCTCATTTCTCCAGCAACAATGACTCCTTATTTCATTCTTTGACATTGTGAAGAAATTAGATTTTAGAGATCTGACTTTTGATGAAGTCAGTTGCTTTGAACAGATGACTATTAAACTTTGACATTTTTTACTTTAAAAGCCAATATCTCTGTAGTAAAAGCAGCCTGATATCCCTTCCCCTTCTTCCTGCTCTAGTGGGCGGCCAATGTCTCCTGAAGCTGAAAGCTTATTGGTTGCAGCCTTTCTGCACTGACATGTGACTCATAGATCAGAGAAGAAAAATGTTCTGTTCCCAGGAAGTGAAACTCACACAGTCACTGTGACTGAGAGGGAAAATGGAGCTGCAAGCAGTTCAGCTGGACCGAGAAACTTTCTCCTGTCCGATCTGTTTGGATCTACTGATGGAACCAGTGGCTATTCCTTGTGGACACAGCTACTGTATGAACTGTATTAAAGATCACTGGGATAAACAGGATCAGGAAGGAGTTCACAGTTGTCCAGAATGCAGGAAAATCTTCACACCAAGGCCTGTCCTGGAGAAAAACACCATGCTAGCAGCTTTAGTGGAGCAGCTGAAGAAGACTGGACTCCAAGCTGCTCCTGCTGATCACTGCTATGCTGGACCTGAAGATGTGGCCTGTGATTTCTGCACTGGGAGGAAACTGAAAGCCATCAAGTCCTGTTTAGTCTGTCTGGCCTCTTATTGTGAGAAACACCTTCAGCCTCATTATGATTCAGCTACATTTAAGAAACACAAGCTGGTGGAACCGAACAAGAACCTGCAGGAGAACATCTGCTCTGTGGATGAACATCAAGGCCACGACACAGTGTCAGCTGCAGCAGAAAGGACTGAGAGGCAGAGAAAGCTGGAGGAGACGAGGAAAGATCCAGCAGAATCCAGGACAGAGAGAAAGATGTGAAGCTGCTTCAACAGGAGGTGGAGGCCATCAATCACTCTGCTGATAAAACAGTGGAGGACAGTGAGGAGATCTTCACCCAGCTGATCCGTCTCCTCCAGAAAAGAAGCTCTGATGTGAAGCAGCAGATCAGATCCCAGCAGGAAACTGAAGTGAGTCGAGTCAAAGATGTTGAGGAGAAGCTGCAGCAGGAGATCACTGAGCTGAAGAGGAAAGACGCTGAGCTGGAGCAGCTCTCACACACAGAGGATCACAACCAGTTTCTCCTCAACTACCCCTCACTGCCAGCACTCAGTGAGTCCCACACTCATCCAGCATCAACATCCGTCCTCTGAGACACTTTGAGGACGTGGCAGCAGCTGTGTCAGAGCTCAGAGAGAAACTACAGGACGTCCTGAGAGACTCATGGACAAACATCTCACTGATGGTCACTGAGGTGGATGTTCTGCTGTCAGAACCAGAACCAGAACCAACAACAAGGGCTGGATTCTTGAGATATTCATGTCAAATCAGTTTGGATCCAAACACGGCTCACAGTTATCTGAAGCTATCAGAGGAGAACAGGAAGGTTACAGTGATGGATGAGCCTCAGTCTTATTCTAGTCATCCAGACAGATTCACTTCATGGTGCCAGGTTCTAAGTAAAGAGAGTCTCAATGGATGTTGTTACTGGGAGGTGAAGTGCAGAGGGACAAAAATTTATGTAGCTGTTGCATACAACAATACCAAAGCAGGAAGTGGCAATGAATGTAAATTTGGAGGTAATGACAAATCCTGGGCTTTGGAGTATTCCAAAAACTGTTATAAATTTGGTCACAACAACATCTGGAGCTCCATCTCAGGTCCAGTTTCCTCCAGAGTGGGAGTGTACCTGGATCACACAGCAGGTATCCTGTCCTTCTACAGCGTCTCTGAATCCATGACTCTGATCCACAGAATCCAGACCAGATTCACTGAGCCGCTACATGCTGGGCTTTGGATTTGGAACAATGGAAACTCTGCAGAACTCTGTAAACCCAAATAAATTTCTGTTCAGATTGTTGACTGGGATTTACTGTACTGATGTCTTTTTTTTAGCACTTATGTTATTTATTTTTCTTTACTTAGTCTAATTAAAATTTTTAAAAATTCTAAAAAGTACATAAATATTTTGTTCCTACAACAGTGAGGAACTGCACTCCACACAGACAACAAAGCCGGTGGAATAAAACGCAGAATCCCAGGAACAACAATATAAAGAGTTGCACTGTGTGAATATATGACATGTTTTTACAAAAACCCTGTCCTGCGGAAAATCGGTCTTTTTTGTACACAATTGCGGCAATAGAAGGAACATTTTCTTAGCTTGAAGTGAAATAAAGCATCTTTGAAGAAGCCATGGATCCAATTAAATATTCAATAATCTGTGTCTGTATTCTGGTCAAGACTGGACTTGACCACAATTTGATCCTGAATTACGTGGAAATGATTTTGGAAAATATGTTTGACAATCCGGACAATGAGTTGCTTTTCGTTACCTACCTTGGGGATATCCTGATGTTGATTGGTCAGAAACATTTAAACCCGACACATGATGTAAAATTCTTGAAGTTCAACCAGGTATCCAGATGAATTCCTCTAATTCTTGAAATGCATAAAAAAAAACATACAATTGGTTTGAAGATTTTTCAAGGTGTGATGGAAAAAAATATGAATTGAATATTATTCATTTTCATTTTATAGTAAAATAAAACTATAAAAAATTTTAATCCAAAATTTAGATTAAGATTAGAAGAAAGAAACAACCTCATTTTGATTCATTAAACAGGAAACTACATTATGGTCTTGCACAAACAGAACAAAGACATTTTGGTGTAAAGAATATTTAATATTTTTGGGTTCCACATAGATTCATAAAGTGTATAATCGCTTTTTGCGCTTCTGGTTCCTCATTTCCTCTGATGAATCCTCTATAAAGTCAATTTTCTTTTAATTGCCTCCTTATAGTGCCTCTTCAAACAGCCTCTCTATCTCGTTTTAGTTAATTTTATATTAAATATGTATTTTTATTCAACAAACAAAGTAAATAAAACAGCAAAAAAAAAACAAAAAAAAAAAAAGAATAAATACGCAATAAATAAGTAATATTTATTCTCCACCAGGGGACGCTGCCTCTTGTATTGAGGTCGTTTCTGGCTCCAGCTGCAGACTTCAATTCCCAGAATCCTTTGCTCCAACCTGCCTGCTAGCATGACTTCCATCCTTCCAGAGCAGCAAACGAAGAGCAAACGGATAACTTCTTCGCCTCCCCGAGCCTGAAATCAGCCGCAAAAACACGTCCGACGTTTTTATCCAGAGAACATTAAATCTTGTCTGGGCGTCTCTGCCAGGTAAGAGTTGTGACGGAGTGAAATGTTAGCGTTAAAGGAAACCTGGAGGAAGCTTTCTAGCTAGCTGGTTGTCAAATGAACGCAGTGATGCAGTAAAAGCGGCCAGAGAGCCGCTCAGGGCTCGTTTATCTCATTTTCTCTGTTTGTTTTGTCGCTTTTTGTTTTCCTACCTGGCCAGGTGACTCAGATGACCGTTTGAAGGGACATTCCGAAGTATTGTGTTTTTTCGAGGCCTTGTCAGCTTGTTTATGTCCGTCAGCTTTTTAAACCTGATCTAAAATATCTGGGTCTGTAGAGACTTCCAATGAGTTTGTTTACATAAATACTGAAATCACAGTTTTAATTGTATAAACTGTTCCCTCCAGTAAAAATGTGTTACCTGGTGAACAGGTGCGTCCAGACACATCCTGGAAGGCTGAGTTGTGACGTAACATCAATATATTTAATCTTAATTTATTACTTATTTACAGTTATGGTTATGTTTGAAGCTCTTCTGGTTATCTCTTAAAGCAGGGATGTCCAAAGTGTGGCCCCAGGGCCATTTACAGCCCTCTGCATGACTCTGTTTTGGCTGGTTGGTCTGTAACTCAAGAATGTAGCAAATTTCAATTTGAGATTTTTACAGACAAATATTGTTATTCACTATATTTATTTATCCTCCCATTTAAAACATCAACTGTATTTTGGATCAAATGATTTATAGAATCCTTTCCTACAATGATTTTGCTGCTTTGCCTTATTAAAATATTGTCTATTTAGTATATTATTGTCCACAGTCAATTTCTTAATAAATAAATCTTTTCAGTTTTAATTTAAAGAAAAAACTATTTAACATTTTGGCCCTAATGTTACAACGTTTGGACACCACTGTCTTTCAGTATTATTTCACTATTATTTAACAGGAAACTCTTAAGGTAATAATATTAAAAGTAAAACTTAGAGCTGTTGTTGTTGTTGTGTTTCAGTCTTTCTGCGTTCTTCCTCCTCCATCTTTATGTTTTCAGACAATCCGGTTTTGTTGAAGTAGCTGCTTGATAAAACCAGTTTCACCTGCACTGTCATCATCCTTACCGGGATTATTTCCTCCTTACATGTTTTAGATCAGTGTTTGTTTTAGAGGGTTAGCATTAGCGTTCCAGGAGTCTGAGCTTATTCAGAGTTGCCAAGTCTTTGAACGCCAATGTTTTTGGTTTTATATATATAAATCTCTAAAAGCTTCTGCTCACACTTTGATATGCTCTTACATTTTTGGATATGATGGTAGAAGTTTTCTTTGACGATTTCAGTCTGTCTGAATCTGTCACCTCTGGGAAAGTTGCAATTTGGAGGTGTGTGTTGCTTGTCACATACAAGCCCCTCTCCTGACTCATCTCAAAAGCTGCTACAAAAAATTATTATTGATGTTCCTAAAAGCTTTTTTTTCTCTCAAAAAGTTCACATTTATTATGTTGTGCAAAAATAACATGGAAACAAATTTCCGTACTTCAGTCTGTGTTTTCTAGCTTTGGACCTCGTCTTCGTCAACCAACCTGCAACTGAAACATTTTTTATTTGCCACAAAAGCTCAACACGTGTTTTCAGACTGAACACAGCCACAAATGAGAAGTTGAGAGGCGATATTTCCTGTCAGTAGAAACGAATTCATCACATGAATTCATTAACACTAACTTCCCACATTGGGGAATATTTAACTAGGTCATCAGATGCTGGGAAAGCTGCTCACCTTTTATTTTTCTAAACTTTTCTCCCTTAGACTCTCAAATTATTTGAAACAGTAAGAATAAAAGAGTCCATCTGTGATCCTTTGTTAATTCATAACATGTTTAACAGTAAAAATGCCTGAAATATTTGTGCTCATATTACAGCTTTAATCAACCATAATTGAGCAAATTTGGATCCATAATATTGATTTATTTTCTCCTAAATGAATAAGAATGAATTTTGTCGGCCATGTCAGATCTAAACCAGTTAAAATGTAAAGTTGCTTTGCGGGTTCAGAGGGAAGTGAAGAGGAAGCTGCAAACTGACTCTGTTCATAATGTGAGAAAAATATCAGCCTGTGGATGTAAAACCGTTTTATTGGCCTGGTTTTATCTCACTGGCTCCAGATCTGGGTTTGGATCATGCAGGTCTTGACAAATTTTGTGTATTATTTCTATTATATTTACTATAAATATATGACTTTAAAAAAGTCTTTAATATACAAAAAAATGAAGATTTTGCTCAGACTGTTTGTAAAATGTGGATTTTGTGAACCTGTAGGAAACAACATCAACAGCAAAACACTGTTGGAGTTTGAAACATGTTTTATGTTACTTTGTATGAAAACTACTAACAGTTAAAGTAAATTTGCAGTTAGTTTCACTTCCCCAAGTTCGCCGAGGAGGAGTTAAAGCTCTACAATAGTCACAGGAAAATATACTTGTAACATTTGTTTGAGGGAAATACATGTCACTAGTTTTAAGTGAGTTTTCAAGCAGGTCTGTAGAAATAACTCTGTCTCTATTGTAACCCTGACAGATGATATTCTGTTTCTTTCCTAAATGGAATTTGCTGTGCTTAGCAAAATGTTTCTACGTTTAAGATTATCTTGAGACAAAATAAGATATGTGAACATTTTGACTTGTTCTGAGTTTTTTTTTAACTAAACATCTATAATTGTCCCTAATCAAGTGAAGTCTACTGGAATATTAGGTGGGATATAAAACCATCATTCAGTATTTAATCTCAGAAAGACAGATACTAACTATAGGTGGGTTTTTTGTTTTTTGAATATATTGTATGAAAATGTAAAAAAATCCTCCATCACTAAAATGACTAAATGAAAACATGTTCATGTTATAGATAAACGCATCCATGCATTTATATTTAGTCACATTAATTATTGCAACAGCGTCTTCACAGGTCACACCAGTTATAACACATCACACCAGTTATAACACATCACACCAGTTATAACACATCACACCAGTTATAACACATCACACCAGTTATAACACATCACACCAGTTATAACACATCACACCAGTTATAACGCATCACACCAGTTATAACGCATCACACCAGTTATAACGCATCACACCAGTTATAACGCATCACACCAGTTATAACGCATCACACCAGTTATAACGCATCACACCAGTTATAACGCATCACACCAGTTTAACGCATCACACCAGTTATAACGCATCACACCAGTTATAACGCATCACACCAGTTATAACGCATCACACCAGTTATAACGCATCACACCAGTTATAACGCATCACACCAGTTATAACGCATCACACCAGTTATAACGCATCACACCAGTTATAAAACATCACACCAGTTATAACGCATCACACCAGTTATAACGCATCACACCAGTTATAACGCATCACACCAGTTATAACGCATCACACCAGTTATAACGCATCACACCAGTTATAACGCATCACACCAGTTATAACGCATCACACCAGTTATAACGCATCACACCAGTTATAACACATCACACCAGTTATAACACATCACACCAGTTATAACGCATCACACCAGTTATAACACATCACACCAGTTATAACGCATCACACCAGTTATAACGCATCACACCAGTTATAACGCATCACACCAGTTATAACGCATCACACCAGTTATAACACATCACACCAGTTATAACGCATCACACCAGTTATAACGCATCACACCAGTTATAACGCATCACACCAGTTATAACGCATCACACCAGTTATAACACATCACACCAGTTATAACGCATCACACCAGTTATAACACATCACACCAGTTATAACGCATCACACCAGTTATAACGCATCACACCAGTTATAACGCATCACACCAGTTATAACGCATCACACCAGTTATAACACATCACACCAGTTATAACGCATCACACCAGTTATAACACATCACACCAGTTATAACACATCATACCAGTTATAACACATCATACCAGTTATAACACATAACACCAGTTATAACACATCACACCAGTTATAACGCATCACACCAGTTATAACACATCACACCAGTTATAACACATCACACCAGTTATAACACATCACACCAGTTATAACACATCACACCAGTTATAACACATCACACCAGTTATAACACATCACACCAGTTATAACACATCACACCAGTTATAACACATCACACCAGTTATAACATCAGTAAATGTAAAAATCTTTTTCCTTCCAGATGCTGTGATGCCGTTTTCCTCCACAAACTGACTGCAAACCGCCACATGACCCACCGCTGCTGCCTGTGAGGACGCCGTTTTGAGCAGTGGGCGGGGCCTGTCCTGTCCGGGGGCGGGGCCAGCGATGGACAGCAGGTGCAGCAGCGTGGATTCGCGGCTGACCGGCAGAGGGCTGGGTTCAGTCAGCAGCACGCCGCTGTCCGCCAGGGTGGAGTCGTACGAATTCGGGGAGAAGAAATGCATCTCAGATGTTCGGAGGACATTCTGCCTCTTCGTCACCTTTGACCTTTTGTTCATCACTCTGCTCTGGATTATTGAGCTAAATGTAAGACGATATTTTTGCACTCTGTGTTGGTAACACTGCAGGTCCTAAAATACAGAGTTCATGCAATTAAGAGATTTATTGTTTATTTGACAGGCCTGCTGTTTATGTATTATTATGCAGAAACAATTTCAAAGCTTTTTAACAAATTGAAGAATCACTGATTGTAACTAATCCTGCAGCTGAACAATTCAAAGTTCAGTTTTCTGCTGCTTTCCAAAATTTTATGTCGTCTGAAACACATAAAACCTTCAGAGTTAAAGCCACAGACGTTCATGATGTAAAAAAGGTCAGTTTATATAGTAAAAAGTCATTTTACTCAGTAAATAATTGACCCAGGAACAGACTGAATGTCTGTCTGTCTTGTTGGGTTTATGGCTTCGCTGCAGGTCGTCTGTCTGCGGTTGGATAGAAGGAGGTCAGGGTGTCTGTGGAGGAGCAGGTCAAGGTCAGGCTTCTGCTCAGATTCAGGAAATGTCTGTTTTTTTTTTTTGTCAGACTCTTACAATGATCCAGTTACATCTGGTTCAACCTCCAACACAAAAAAACACAAAATTACTTCTTTTTTTGACTTGTTTGCTTGTGACTCATCAAACAGAAGTGAATTTACTTCTGTTATAAATAGTTTGAGTGACTTTTTGACCTGCTGCTTCCTGTTCCGACAGCAGAGGGCGGCGCAGCTGGTGGCTCTGCTGCCTCGCAGTAGGAAGGTTCCGGGTTTGAATCCCGGCCTACGGTCTTTCAAATAATCTACACTGTTGTGTATTTTGTCTTTTATCTAGAAAATAATTCTCATTATGTCAAAAAACTAATAATATTAAGTTTATTAAACTCAGTTTAGGGTTTATTTTTGACTTCCAAAGATGAATATAAGGAGAGTGAGAACATCCCTAACTAAACAAGAATATCATTAAAAAATCTCAACTTTAGTCTGAACATGTTTCTGTTAATGCCGTGAATATGGGCAGATCTCCAGGGCGGCATTACATTGGGGGGCGTTCGGTTGCACCTGGATGTTCTGCTGCTTTTATGCGTGTGAGGAATGAGGAGCTGCAGCCTCCATCTTGATGGTTTGGGACTTTTTGCTGCATTTAATCCCATAATCTTAATTTGTTGTGTCCAAACTGTGTTTGAAACTTTTAACTGGAGAAAGAAGGAGAAAAGTTTACTAGATGAACACAGAGCTGAAACCATGAACTGGATTCATTCAAATGGATCGATTATTGAAATAATCAGTTAATTTAGTAATCAATTAATCATCAGCTGGAGTATTGGGACTCAGACACTCAGAGCATAAATTAAACCAAAACTGTACAAAATAAATGTAAATTTTACGTTAAAAAGTCTTTAAAACTTCTTTGTCTGTAAACGTTTCACCCAGAACTCATTTTCACTTCACCTGCTTCAATTTCCCTAAAATGAATTAAAAATAAAACAAAATCATCCTTTTACTTTCCACGCTTTAACTCGTCAATAATCAGCTCAACGTTACGTCATGTGAGCTTTTCACAACCTGCTGTTAGAAATTATTATTATTTTATCTGCAGATGAATCTTTTCCTACAGATAATTAAGAGAAAACAAAGGAATGTTTGTTATTTTAGACAATAATTAGTTTTTCTTTTTGAAACATATTTATGTGCATATTTTAATGTGTTTCTAATATTGGGTGGTTTAATTAAAAATCTGCAGAATGTAAATTTCTGAATCTGATTTATGCTCTGAATGCTGCAACTCTTCAGTAAAATTAATGTTGCAGCTCCAGATGAAAACTTTTGCTCTTATTTGAAAAGCTTTGGACTTTAAAATATATTCAATATATATATAACATATATATATATAACATGTTTATCATACTTTCTAATTGGGGTTTGTGAATTTTTGAGTGATGCTTTTGGTTGGATCCAAACTTTTACAAGTAAGATGAGGAAAATATTAAGAGTATTTAGTAATTAACATGATTTTATTGAGCAAAAACCCAAAATGTTTCTGTTTGTTGTGCTGCAGGTGAGCGGAGGCGTTCAGGCGCAGCTGGAGAAGGAAGTGCTGCACTACGACTACCATGCCTCTTTCTTCGACATTTTTGTAAGAGCGTCTCCAGTTTAGCTGTTTTTTATTCATTATCTTCTTGTTTAATCTGAGCGGCGGCTTGTTTCCAGCTGCTGGCCGTCTTCAGGTTTGCAGCTCTCATCCTGGCGTACGCCATCTGCAAGCTGCGTCACTGGTGGGCCGTCGCTGTAAGTGCTTGTGCCTGTCAGCCGTTTTTCATTATTTAAACATAAATTAAAATCAGATTATTTCACAAAACATTCATGGAGAAAAGATCCAAACAAACATCTTAAAGGAAGTGAGGACCTTGACTGTTTTTATCTGGCTTTTGTGTTTCATTATGTTCTATATTTGTTTATTTTATTGAATTATTTTAATTTTAAGTTGCTGCAAAAAGCTTGAAGGATTCATATCCATATTACAGACTGTGTGTTTTTCTTAGATAACCACTGCAGTCAGCTGTGCCTTCCTGATTATTAAAGTCATTTTATCAAAGGTAAGAGGAAGAATAAAGCTGCTGCTGATCCAAAACTTCATGCAAATATTTTTAGATATAATTACAATATCAGGTTTAATAAAGAGTTTGTTTCTGTTACAACCTGCTAATATTTTCATCTCAGCTGAACTTATTTCAGTTTATTAAAGCTCTGTGTTCACCTGCCTATTGAACTGATTAAAATAAATACAAAATGTTATATTCTAAAATATTTAGATTAAGTCCTAATACTGACATTTTGTGATCATTTACAAAACATAAAAAAATAAAATCCTGGACCTTAAAGTGAGATTAGCTCAGACAAATCTGAATCTTCCACATTTTATAAATACGTTCAGATTATAAAACCATCAAATCATTGAGTTTTTCTGATGAATGTGAACAGAAGCAATCAGAAAATGAATGAGTTTGTGATTTGTTGGTTTGTTTGTGAGCAGCTGCTCCTCCAAGGCGCCTTCGGTTACCTGCTGCCCATCGTCTCCTTCATCCTGGCCTGGATAGAAACCTGGCTGCTCGACTTCAAGGTGCTGCCGCAGGAGAACGAGGACGAATGCAGTGAGTTTTCTGGTCAACCGCAGATGAACATGAACTCCATGTCGGACCTGCTGACCTCGTTTGTCCCGTCTGCAGGGTATCAGTCGTTCCTGGACGCCGTGGAGCGCGCTCCGCTCATGGGTCCCGGTCCTCTATCCGACGGCCAGTTTTACTCTCCACCCGAGTCTCTCGCAGGTCACTTATCCGAAACCAACATTCACTCCTGATCTTTACAGAGAAAAGAGCCAGAACTGTAGTTTCTGTTAAAGGCGTTTGAATCGTCACATTGATCGTTTTCTGTCCTGTTTTCAGACTCTGATGAAGATCTGGAGGATAAACACGACCCAGAAAAAAGCCTGATCCAGAAAGTCTCCTAACAGGTAGAAACTCCTCCTGCAGCAGAAAAATAGCTTTTATTTTCCAAAGAAAAGAGAAATTCAGTAAAATGTTATTTCCTATGTTCATGTTTCTGATTGGCTGCCAGTCAAATTATTACAGTTTTAATCCTCAAGCCAGAAATGGATAAAATTTGACAAAAAGAAGAAATCATTCAGCTTTCCTAACAAAAGACGGGATTGAATTGGAAGAAATTATCTGGTAATTTATTCAACATCAGATTAATAAAGTCATAATAAAAATAACTTGATGAAAATTTTCCACCACAGAACTATTATCAACTAAACTTAGAGGATATGAGGCAGCATTGATTAATCATTGATGTATCTTTAAGATTAAATATGTTAAATTGAGGAAAAGCTGCTTGAGTTTGACCTTTAAAAGGTTAAAGTTCATTGGCTGAGCGGGTTTGTTCTGCTGGTTCTTCAGGTTCCTGAAGACGTCCTGCTCCGTCCGCTCTGGACCTTCTGCTCAACGCCGTCCCACTTCTGGTTCCAGCCGGGTTTTAGTTTTTGCACCTTTTAAAGAATTCGTTTTTATACATAATGAACTTAAAGTCTGGTTGAACAAAAAGATTTTAATTTTTCACCATGTTTTGTTTGACACGTTTTTGGACAGCTTGTCTTAAATTTACACCATGTTTACTGTAATATTTGGTTGTTTTTGATTTTACTGTGACATAAATCCTGCGATTGGATGAAGGAAAGCGTGAAGGAGCAGTTTGATCAGGTCACTGATTTAAAGAGACTGAAAAAAGGGAAAATGAGCCTCATGAAGGATCCTGCACTGTATCATATATATATATATTATATATTAAACTGCTTTTAAAAGCTGCTGTTGGAGGAGGAAACAGTCAAACAATGTAATTATTGATGCATGCCATCCAAACCGGTTGGGTTTCAGGGGAAGCTTGTCTGGAAAACAACCAATAAAAAGTGAAACCTTGTTTTCTTTTGTTTCTGACTTTGCTGGGATCTAATGTGGGAACGTTTAGGTGGAATAATTTCCTGACTTTGAAATGGGAACAGCATGTTCTTATGTCTTTCCCATTTTGAAGAGTGGCAAGAAAACTGTCAGTGACACAGGAAGTCACTGAGCTTTGGATAATCGTTTTTCCCCCCCAACTGAATTTTCACAAATCAAATGTTTTAGGGACTTTAAGACTATAAAACAGGGTAGTTGTTTTAAAATAATGAAATAAAATAAAAACAGTGGTTTTGTGTAATACTGTTTTATTCAGTTTGTCACATTTTCAATCAACAGAAGTCAAGAATCTGAGGCAGGTGTGAACATCCGCATCCCGTCTCATCAGTGCTGCGTCAAAAACACTTTTCTCCAAAATAAATAGATACTGACTTCTTAAAAAACTGTCAGCCTTCATCTGATCCTGGATCAGTCTGGAAACGATGAGATGAACGGAAACGACAGAAATCTGAGGTGAAGAGTGTGACGTTGTAAACCTTCGTTGTTTTTATTGACGAGTTTTCAGAGATCCTTCATCCTGTGAGCGTCGGTTTAAAAATGGCAGGAGTTTAAATACAGACGTGACTAAAGTTTCTATTTCTGCTCTTTTCTACATGAAGACAGTCGTGCTGAACATTTTACTTCCTTCTACTGCTTCTAAAGTGTCAACACTGAAACTAAGGATCAAGTTTTTTTCTTTTACAGCATCATGAGACGATCACTGAGACACAACAAACAAAAAGCTCCATCAGGTCTTAACGTCTCCCGTTGCATTCAATGTAACATTTATCCTGCATCTCAGTGCTGAGCTCAGCAACACTTTGCTCCAAAATAAAAACGTTTGAGACGTTTCGCAGATTTTTGGTTAAAATCTCAACATGCAAAGGTGATGCAGAAACTTTAATTTTAAACAAAACATGGAACAGGTAATTCTAAAGGAATAAAAACCCAGAAGGAGCAATAAAACGGTGCCGATGCATAACGGCTGTTTCACAATAAGCAGCTCAAACCATCATCAAAACAGCACAAAATAATATAAATGTATCAAACTTCAGTTTGTCTCTTTTTTAAAAAGGCAGAAACTAAAAATTGGAATTTAATTTAAACATTAACATGTTATGGAAATGAGCAGAACAAACTTTTCTCATAAAGTCAGGGAGAATCTAAATTTGTTTTTTTAATTATTGCTGTAAAAATTTGATTTTTCAGGATAAAGTATGAAAATCTGTAAAATCAGTTATTTGAGGTCAAGAAAATATCAGATTCTTAATCAATGTAGAACTTACTGCAAAATGTTCAAATAATGAGGAAGTAGTTATGATTTTGAATATTTTATTTATGTTGATTTGAAAGCATTTTTTGAGTTCTAACTTCCTAAAACTCCATTAATAAACTGCACTTTTCTGTTCTTCAGTTTAAAACTTGTATAAATGTCTGAACTATCAGAAGCTTCAGATTTAAATATTTATCTGCAGTTTTCTGTGATTTGAAAGAGCTGGACAGAGTAAGGAATTTATAAATATTAAAACATTTACAGCAGGAAAAAGTAGTTTTTACCTCCAACACTAAACAGCCGTTTACATTCTCCAACTGAATGTTTTGTTTTTTTAGACAAGCAAACTTGCAGACAAATTCAAATGTTGTTAAATGTGAAACAGATTAAATGTAATTCTGCTGTTAATCTGGTGCTCTCTGCATGCTCTGCAGAGGTGACCAGCAAAAACACTTTATTTAGAAATTTGTGATTGCAGAAAATTTTAAACGCTGTTTTTTATTTTAACAGAGAAAATACCAAATTGAACTCAGCTCATAAATACGTTTGTTTGAAATGTAAAAATCTTAAAATAAATGGTTGAGTTGTTCAGATTTCAATAATGTGGTACATTTAGTGGATCCAGTTCGTTACATTTTCACACATAAAAAAGTCACCCAGTGCTGATATTCTAAAAGAGAATCACTTTTCAGATTCATATGATGTTTTAATTTAGTTTTAATCATTCTGCTAATGTAGTGATTGTTCAGCAGGGGGCGATAATGGATCACCGCTGCACCTAATTTTAGGATTTATAACAAAATTAATTATTTCTGAAGGATTTACAACAAAAAATCAGAAGGAAAAAAAATCAAATCAATAAAATATCAAATTGAATCTGGTCAGGATGCGACTTGCAGGTGATTTTTAACAGTTTTTAAATCATCAGTTTCTGCTCACAGACGTCATGATGGAAATCTCCATCGTCTCTTTCAGGCAGACGGATCCAGTTTTTACATCAGAAACATGTGGGAGGAATGTGCCGAGGAATGAGGTCCGGACTTTGTTCATGGTTCCTGTTTACACCTTCAGCAGGAGAGAGCCTGAGAACTTCCTGTTACAGCAGGGAACACTGGGAACACTGGGATTCTGCTGTGGGAAGTGGGCAGCGTGGAAAGACCTCAGAGCTGCAGCTGCTAACCTGGAAATCCCAGCAGTTCGTCCCTGTCAGGCTCAACGGAAGATTTCTAAATCGTTTTAGGCCGAATTTCTCTAAACTGTTTTTAGAAAACATTTTAATTCTTACTGTTGTTAAAAAGCAGAATAGTTTACTTTTATGATATAAATTGTAACAAATCAGCTCCAGGCCAGTTTTTACCTGTTTTAATTTTTAGGTTTAGGTGAGAAGGTTTAAATTTGATTTCATGAGATAATATTAAGCAGAAACACATGAATAAAATACTGAATTTAAAGTTTTGCAAAGCAAATATTGTTAGGTCACCAGTGGTGGGCACTACAAGCTAAAGAGCGAGCTACGCTAACCGTATAGCACTAATCATAACATTAGTCCCACTAAAGCCACAAGCTAACATGGTATTTAGAAGAAATAACACAGTGACACATCGCAGCATATCGCAGCATATCGCCCTCTACAGGATCATGTTGTGATTTGGGAACAAAACTTTCACTCCTGGTTTCAGTTTTATAGTTGCTGAGATTTTGCTGAGTTTGTTGCAGGTCAGAACATCAGCAGATTTTAGAGCTTCATGGAGAGATACAATACTTATTGAACACTTTCCATTTGCTCAAAAAAGTAAAAAAAAAAAAAAGAGGTGAGGAAAAGGAATCAAAGCATAAATGATTTCAAAATAAGAGCCTGTGGATAAATGCCTACATTAATGAAGCTGATAAACAAAACTTCAACATAAAAGTTGAACTTTTAAACGTTATTAAACAAAGTTGAGGTTCAGAATCTATCCAGAGAAATTAATGTTGCTACATGAGACATTTGCTCTGCTGTTAGCAGATGAACAATAGAGGGCCCAACACTGTCAGTACTGTTTAAAGGACTAACCTCTGCGTACTGCGGCGCAGCTTGGCGATGCCGATTGCTTCAGTTGGATTTGATTTTATTTTGGTCCTTGTATATTAATGAATATTGTCATCAATATAGCGGATTTAGCAAAATTTTATTCATCCAATGAGACCAGAAACGACCCTGTTGTTCTGCTGGGCAGCAGAAATCGGCCTGCAGGTGGCGATAAAGTGAAGCTAGAGCAGAAATGAGGCGGCGTGGTGAGGAGAGCATCTCAGTGGAGCTAAATCTATTCTGCAATCACTAGCAGCGCTAGAGAGTCATGAAGAGGTTTCTATATTTACTTCCCTCCAGAGGAGAAGTTCAGCGAACTGATGCAGAGAATTCAATCTCACAGTTTCAGACCATTTTCCTTTCACAGCTGATAGACAACTTGATTTGGAGCCACATGGGGATCAGCTGCTTGTTTCCAGTGCATCTGCTGCCATTCTGGCTGAAATATCTCAGCTATTTCCTTCCAGGAACTGGAGGAGAAACACTGATCCTGTTCAGACTGAGCTGCTTGCTGGGCGGCTGAGACGTACGGAGCAACAAAAGGCCCAACTGACCCGTTTAAAACACAGAAACAAAAAGCTGGACTCTAAAAGCTTTTCACGTAGCACCATGCCATCGGTTTCCAGTTCCTAACACTGTATCACATTTCCAGGAGTTTTTTTTGTTGTTTTGTTTTGTTTTTTACGACGAACATCGCTCACGTGACGGTGAAGAAATGAAGAAGCAGACAGATGTGAGGAAAAGCTGAGGTATCCATTCGGGAGAGTCCTGCAGTCTGACAGGAGATTTCTGCTTGTTCTGTGAGGATTGAGGTGGCAGAAGGCACGAGTCGCCAGAGCAAACTGCAAAACTAAATCTTACTTTGGTCTGGTTTCCACTGCAAATATTTCAGTGCACTGTAAATAAGATAAAATCACCCTAAAAATTATTTTTAAAAATATGAGCTTACTTTATGTCAAAAATGTATTGAAATTGCAGAAAACGTCCTTAGTTGCAGATTATTTCACTTATAACAAAACATTTTTCCCATGTTATCAGTGAGATAATCTGCCAATTTTTCCATCAAAGTTAAGGAACTAAAAAAACCTCCTATATCTTTCTATAAGTTTTCTTATTTTAAGTGTAATAAAACATTTGCACTAGAAACGAGACCAAAAATACTTGGTAAGCTTCTGTGTGTTTGCAGTGTGGGGGGTTTATGAGCAGTGAGCCGCCGTCCATCCAAACAGCCGACTGAGCTTTTCTCCCTCTCACAATCAAACCACAAACAAACCACAATCAAACCGGCTCTGCAGCAGATTTTTCTCTGTTTTTGTCAGAGGAGCTCAAAGCTTTCAGCTCACAAAAACCTGTGAATGAATCTGGGCCTCCGGTGGTTTAAACCTGAACTGAGACGTGTTCCAGCGAGCGGGCTGGGGAAGGGGCCGGAGCCGGGGCCGGGGCCGGGGCCGGGGCCGGGGCCGGGGCCAGGGCTGGAGCCGGGGATGGAGCCGGGGCCGGGGCCGAGGCCTGGGAGGCTGCAGCCAGAACCGGGGCCAGGGCTGGAGCCGGAGATGGAGCCGGAGCCGGGGCCGGAGATGGAGCCAAGGCCGGGGCTGGAGCCGGAGCCGGGGCCGGGGATGGAGCCGGGGAGGCTGCAGTTGCTCCCGCAGGGGCAGGAGGAGGAGCTATTGCTTTCAGCTCGTTGCCGGGGCAGCTCTGCGTGCTGACCCCTCGGTTGAGGGCGTTGGCGGCGTTCGGCACGGCGGGGTCGGTGCGGGGGATGTTGACAGGGCAGGAGCGGGTGCGGGCGTGGCCCTTGTGGCCCCCCGGGTGGCACACGAGGCTTCCCACGGTGTCGACGGGCGACAGGTGGCGCTTCAGCCAGCGCTCCACCCTCTCCTCCTTATACTTGATGGAGTACCAGGTGAGGAAGATGAAG